GAAACATTGCCTATCGGTGCCATCTAATAGAGCAGCCACTTGCCATGTATGGGTATTGAAACACAAAATATTCATAATGAAGACATAAATTTTAAATGTAATTTAAATTAAGACACAGTAGTGAGTGGCTACTGAATAAAGATAGCCATGGAGTAAACAGTTTTTCCTCCTCATTGGGACCCAGAAGTGGTTTAAAAGGCCAGACTCAGGCTAGGACAGTCATGGTAAAAAGTGTTTCCACTGGTGAAAGAGAGATTGCAACACAGTGGTCTCTGAGGGATTGGGGACGGGGGGGTGGTGATCACTTGGGGTATCAAGGAAGGAGTCACAGTCTGGACTTGGGGGATGTTCAGAACATAACCTTTAGCTTTGCCTTTCTTGTTTGAACTTCCCTCATCAATCTATAAGTTGTTAGAAAGGTCCTGCCTGTAACCCCCGCTGCTCAGAGGGTGAGGCAGGAAGATCTAAGTTTAAGGCCAGATAGCAAGACCCTATCTCAAAATTTAAAAATAGCAAGGCCTTGGTATGTAGCTCAATAGTAGAATGCCACTAGTTTCCATCCTGAGTACTAAAAAAAGTTTCAGTTATTTATTTGTGCTTTGGGAAATTAAGGGAAAGGCGATGTTATGTGACTTAGCACCTTGATGCCTGAACAAATTAGCAGAGCAAGGGCCACTAGAATACTAGCAATAAATGCTAATAGTAGAGTAAGTTGTCTACGCGTCTGAATCTTCAGGTCTAGCTCATAGTAAATGCTCTATAAATACTGAAAGTTGAACTCAATTTAGAAAGAAATTCTTAAGGTAATATTTATCCATGAACATTGTTTTGCTCATGTACGTGCTCATGTACTAGCCCCTTGTGCGGAACAGAAATCGGACACTCTTATTTTTCCACCAATAGGCTAAGTAGTTGTAATATCTAAAGATACTGCTCTTCTATCGTCCCTAAATTAAAATCTCTTAAAGCCATCTTTTGTATGATTTCAGTTCTAAATATAGACTAGTACCAGTCAAAACCTTGTTTAAATGTCTGATATTTGGGAAAGGCCATCCACGTGTATGCTAACTAGTCTTTGAATCTGTGGCACAGGAGCCAAGTGTTCTCCTACACAATTAGAACGTCATAGTGCTGGCCAGAGTCTCTCAATTTTCCTGGGCAGGGTAATTTCACAGGTGGAGATGTAGCATTACAGGCAATATGGAGCAACAAATAGAGACTTTTGTAGCATAATAATTAAAGATATAACTATTCTCAATAGGATTCATATGCTAAAAATCCCTATTTCACATATAGCATTATATGTGAAATAGCATTTCCTTTGGCAAAGAATGAAAACCATATAATCCATGTTTTCATTTCTACAACATGTATCAAAACTTTTAAAACCTACATTTATTATAAAGCTGTATTTACTGATTGTTCCCAGCTCCTTGGTAATACTTTCTCTGTTTCATCCTTCCAAGACTTATTTTGCATATTATAATTTGTGAACCACCCGAAATCCTTTTGGAAACATAAATCCTTAATCCTTTCAGAGGTCAAATCAGGAAGTACTAAATAACAAGACTAATAAAAGGATGCTTATTCAATTTTCTTCTCAAATGGAAAGTCGAATAATAATTTACAGGAGAAAGGTCAGTGGGAAGAGTGAAGATTAGGTCAGGTAGTCCATTATATTTGATGAAAAAACTCTTAGCCAGCAAGTATTCATCTATCTTCTTCAATCAATGAAAGGAGCTCTGCAGGTACCCACATAATATAATTCGGCCTTTAGTTCCTCCAGTGCACAAATGCTCCTTACAGGAATGATAGTCAGTAGCAGCTCTGGTGTGTCTCAGTCACATTCTCTGCCCCAACAGAGCAAGAAGGATTTGCTAAGAGAGCAAGGGTCGAGCATGTATTCAGAGAGTGTCAACGCCATCTCGGCAGACTCAGTTCAAAATATGAGGACTGCTGACACTGCACTGCGGCATTCGGGGGCCACTACATTAACTCCCACAGTAGACCCGGGAGGATGAACAGGCCTTCTCTGTGGATAATCCAAAGGAAATACTGGAGGTGTTGGATGGGATATCATATACATATGCAGCAAAATCACAATGTAGAAATCAAAATCGACATAACAAAAATCTAAGGAAAAGTGTTAATAAAACAGGGAAGTACACTACAAATGAGTTGCTGGAATTGCTCTTTGTGGGTATTTATTTGCCACTAGCCGGAATCTGTTTTGTTGATGCATAAATTAGCGAGCACTACAAAGAATCACAGAGAGCAATTTGTTCTACCGTGTGCGCCCTTTGGTCACACTGCATTTGTTTCTGCCTGTTATCTGCTTCGGAAATGACTCTAGAAGTGTTGTCCTTGTTCGTGTTCGCCAGCTCTCTTTGCTAGCAGGTAGCCATTCCCTGGGCCACACTCTCAGCCCACAGTGCTGCACACAATTTTGAGACTCTTCCTTCTTTGGTCTCAACAAATGTGTACTCTTCCATGGTCAGAAAATAGAATCACAATCCCTAAAGACAAATGCAGCTACTGTTGTCTTTTTAAAATTTAACTCTAACCATCTCCTAGAACTATCCAAACTTAGTTCTGTGATTTATGGTTACGATCTGCAGCGAGTTCTTAGCAAACAAGGCTTAATGATTTTCCCTTCATCATTCTGAGCAGATAGAATCTGATTCCACCTTCGGTCCAGGGCCTCTTTCTTTCACATCTGCACTCCTGAGAGAACTGTGACCTAGAAAGACCCTGCTGGGATTGGGAAGCAGGTAGCCTCTACAGTATTAAAGTGTAGGTGCTGGATGAATAGTAACCAAATTACAACAGGGTTGGAACCTAAAACAGACAAGCTCTTAATAGAGAGTTCTCCTCAGCACGGTAAAACAAGTCATCCATTACCTGCTGCTGAGAGAAGCAGAAGTTGCTGGGTGTGAGTGACAGCTGAGGTCTCCTGTAAGTACAATGAAATTCTGCCACAGCCTTCAGCAGGGAAGGCTACGAGGAAGGAATGATCAAGAAAAATGCTTTTCTAAGTCAGTGAGAAGTCTGGATTTTTAACCTATTTTAAACAAAAGCAAGCGTGGTTATTTTAAATCATGACGAGTTGGGCAAGGTTAACTATGTGAGTCTAAGGTCTTCAAGGATCTTTAATCAATAAATGAGCTTCTTCTGTAATTACCACCGCCATTTGTTCTAATGTAAATTGTTTTAATGTAAATGAATGCTCTGGAATTGCTTGAAGGAGTTGGAAAATACTATAATTTGTGTTCTTTTAAATTGCTTAACCATTCCCCCAAACTTATTTTCAGCAGCATTTCTGAACAATGGCACAAAGACAACCTCAGATACTACCCTGACATGAATTTTCCAAATGTCCTAATTAGAAGATGTGACTTAATGAGTTTTTCTTTTTTTTTTTTTTTTTTTTTTTTTTTTTTAAATTTTACTGTGTATTATAGAAATAAAGCCAGAAGAAGGCATCATGAAATGAACTCCAGTTTTAACATTGATATATCTGATTTATACTTGGCTTAAAGAAGTGCTTAACATTGTCCTTCAAAGAGTCAAAGTGGGCCTTGGCTCTGCCACATCAAGGATGTAGTTAATACACTAAGAACGAAGCTTTAGTGTGGAAAGAGCTAACTGGCACTCTCAAATCATTGAAACTGATAGAGGCTGTAACAAGCTGATGACAATGGTGCAGGAAATAGACTTTACATTAGTGCAATCTGAGCTCTTATTAATTTTTATAGAACTAGTGAATTATAAGAATAATGGACTCCTTTAAGTTGCTTAAGGGAAATGGAATCCTGGAGTAGTTAAGAGCTTTGGGGCTGAAATCCTGCCTCTTCCAAACTGCCTGGCTCTCTGATCCTGGAGCTGATACATTTTAGCTCTAAGCCTTGGTTTCCTCTTTTGTAGAATAGTTGTAAATCACACTTCCCTTCCTGTTAGGATAAGTGAGATAAAATGCTTGGCCTGGCACTTCCTACCCAGTAAATACTTCAAAAATGGTATTACTTCCATTACTGTTACTGCTAGTCCTGATATTATGCCCTGACTCCCTATCTCATCTTATCCCATTCCTCTTCTAACAAAGTTTCAGCAGAAGTAATATTTCAGAGGTTATGTTCAGAGTAATATTGCTGCTGCTGTTGATGGTATGTCAGGTACTGTGGTCAGGGCTTTATACGTACTACCTCTTAATTGTCACAGTGACTTGAGGGAGAGATGTTATTAGTTTATTATGATTATTAAATTTCATAATTCCTATTATTCATCTTATAAATGAAACTTATAGACGCACAGAAGTTAAAGCCAAACTTTGAACTCTGGAGTATGAATTCAGAGTCCACACTTTCAGCTGCGACTCCTTCCTATTTCCAACCTCATTTCTGTTTCTGACAGTGATGTTTCTGATGATCAGGCCTAAAGTTCAGTGCAGTATTACTGTGTTTGGGTGTCCAAGCTGCTGTAGGGTGGTGTGCATGACATTCTAGTTCTTTCTCAATGAGAGCCTGAGTGGTTAGGGAATCTTGTTACTCATTTTAAAAGTGTAAAGGAGACAAAAAGATTCTGAAGGGTGGGAAGTGTGGGCCTCACCTGGATATTGTAAAGCACATTCCCACCTTTAGTGTGGAGACCCTGATCCCGAGAGCAGTCTTAGTGCCATCCAAACAATTTTTAGCAGTTTCATTAATTTCCACTTGGGGAACTCTTGGCAGTTCCCCACCATGATTACTAGAACCACATATTCAATGTATCCACTTATTACTCATCACCCACCCATGTAGCCCGATGTTGATTTAGTTTTCCTGCTAGGAAACTGGCACACCTATATAACCAAGAAAATGTGCTAGAGTGAGTAGGAGGTACAGTTTTCACTGATTGGAAGAACCCTTGGAGGTCAACTGCCCAACCTCTTCCTTATGCTGGAAAAAGGAGAATTAAAAATCATTTCAAATGCTTAAAGTCATTACACATCGCTGTGCTCTTACCCTTGCAGTGAAGTCCACAGCAGCCGCTCGGTTTAACAGCAACGTGGCCACATTGATATTTCCATAGTGAGCAGCTATGTGGAGCGGAGTGAAGCCACTCTGTAAAGAAAACACAGCAGACATTCAATTGATTCCTGCCAGTTCTTTGTCTGACAGGTTACTATCATAATCTTTCCCAAATAAAAATGAGGAAGCAAAATATGCTGAGATCCACATTCTATTCTGAACTAGGTTTCGATCAGAGCCAGTTGCTCACTGGGCTTCTAATACACCCCACACTCACGGGCAAAGAAACAGCCAGGGAAAAAAATCCCAGGGTAGCAGTGGATCGATTTCGTTAATCCAGTAAATTGAACTACATAGAAACCAACATTTCAAAAAGCTAAAATAAGGATTATAAGAAAAAAACTTTTTAGCTCATAGAAAGCTTGAACATTACTATTTTAAAGCTGCTTTATTACTTATGGTAGAATAGATCATTGAAACTCTTCATCCAAATTCAATTAATTTTATATATTCAATATAAATTCAAATTCACAATAGTAAATGCCAATTTTAATGACTCAAACAATTTGGGGGGAAGCAGTACTAGCACACAATTGATTGTGCATAATGGGTGACTGTATTCTATAAAGATTCCACAAGTTGATCTCGTTGTTAGCAAATGCCTATTCACTAACACAGTTTTCTTGATTTTTTTTCCTAAACCATGATCATTTTACTTCCTTAAAAGTGCTAAACATGCAGCGATTCACTTAGTCCCCAAAGATTGAAACCTTAGAGGAACTAGATGCATTTCTAGTGTGTGAGCAAGCTTCTTAGCCATGCCAGCCGTCTGACTCTTGTGGAAGGTGGGTCATATTGTCACCTTTCTGAGGTAACTTTCCCTTTGCTGACACTATAGAGGGTAAGTGTCATGCAGAACCCTAAAGAATCAATTCTGGAGGAGTAGAATGACAGGGTTGTCTGCAGCTTCAGGTATAGCTGATAAGCATCTAAAGTGTCAAAACTCTTCAGGTCACATGCAACACATTTAAGTTCCAGGGATTCCTAAATCTTCCCTTCCAACACCAAGTTCAGCTGCAGAAAGCCCTGGTACTCAAACTACTGTCTGCTCTAGCACATGCTCCTTTGCGGGGCAGGGAATAAAGCAGGTATCTAGCCTACAGAAGGCGATGCAAAGGAAGGAAGGAAATGAGGCAGCAGCACTACATAATGGGTAAGTGATGATGCGATATAGATTATACATATATGTAGATATATATATATATATACCTCTGTTGTTCTATTCACCACCATCTAGGTTAACACATTTGGAAGCAAAGAGGAGGAAAAAATGAACGGTTAGTTCACTATTGGTGACATGGATTGCAGAAAGCTCATGACAGCTTAGGAATGATGATGGAAGCTATAATGGAAGCACAAAAGGCACAGAGAAAGCTAGACTGAATGGAGGGCGCCACGCGACGACCTAGTCCAGTTGCCACATTTCCTTCACAGAGACTTTCAAGTAAGACATGTCAAGACAATGGGAACTTCCAGCTGTGGCTCTCGCGGCTGGCATGCTTTCCGCAGCTGATCTACACTCAGTTTACTGCCTGTCATCTCAGACATCAACAGAGGCTTACTGGGGCACATTGTCTTTGGCAATTTTGACTTTTCACCCTGATATTTGAGTTGCAGTGTTCAATACATTCCCAATATGTATTAAAAGGAAGGAAACTATCAATGGCACATCAGCGGTTTCTTTTGTGGGGGGCTCCCTTTTAGCATGCACGGGGCAGCACCTGCAGCATCCTTTAGCTTTTTATATTAAGGGAGGGTGTGCGTTCACTTGACTGGCTTGGACATACATTTTTTCATTCCTTTCAGTGAAGGTAAGTTTTGGGCATGAGTTTGCCAAGAGGGAGACCAGGCGTCCTTAAAGGCCGTGTGTCTGACTCAGGATTGCTGCAGGAAACACCTGCGTCCCTGGGCCTCACCTTTGACTCCACATCTGCGTTGTTGTCATTCTGCAGCAGCAGGGCGGCGGCTTTCGTGTCATCTTTTCGGGCTGCAATATGAAGAGCTGGAAGACGTACTTTGCCTTTCGTGTCATTCTCTAGGAGGAGTGAAACTACTTGGTCATGACCTTGTTGCAAAGCTACAGCCAGTGGTGTGAAGCCATCCTGCAAATAAATGGATGCATCAAGATGGGTGAATATTTTCTTTTTGATCCAATTAAATAAGAAAGCAGCCATATCAATTTTTTGTTGAGGTTCATTAAAAGCTAACTTTATATTCAAATAGACATATATTTGGAAAGACTTCTATCTATCCAAAACAAAAATCGTAAGATCATAAAAATTTCTTGCTAAGCTTTTTTTCCCCCTCTGTTGAAAAGTAGCACTTACATATTAATTGGAAAAAGTTTGCAAATATACAAAAGTACTACATAAAAAAGAAAAAAAATTATAATTTCAGTACACATAAAATCATCTCAATAAAATCAGAACACTTCAGGTTAAATCTAGGCAAAGTTTTGCAAAAAGCTTATTTAAATATGATGTAAAAATTTTTACTGATATAGATGGGGTTTGTGCCTACCTATTCTTTACCATGTTGCCTAGCATAAGCCTGGTGCCCTGTCAGTATCATAAATTAATCAACCATTGTCATTGCTGTTTTAAGAAAGGTCCACATGAAAGACTCTTGCTTTCTTTCACCAATAAGGAAAGACAACACATTGATCTTGCAGAATTCAACTTTAGCTACTTTTTTTGTTAAATTGTATTGTGGCTTGACAAATCATAATTATATATAGTTATGGGGTAAATATGATTTATGGATATGATGTGGAATGATTAAATCAACTTAATTAACATATCCACCACCTCAATTACTTTTATCCTTGTGATGAGAACATTTGAAATTTATTTTCCTAGCAACTTTGAATTGTACAATATGCTATTACTAACTACATTCACCCATCTGTGTCATAGACCTTTCCCTCCAAAAACTTCATTATTCCTGTTTGAGACTTGGTCCTCTTTGCTCAATATTTTCGCACTCTCCCCAGCCTTAAGCCTCCGGTACCCACTGTCCTAACCTGTGTGTCCATGAGCTTTACTAAAACATGACTTCAGAATAAATTTGGATGTAAGTGCACACTCTACATTTTGCATCTTCCCTTTGTTTTTCCCTGAGACTTGACAAAAATGAGACAGCTACCAATCTCACAGTGTTTCATTAATTTATTTCATTAATTTCTGTGTAATCTAGAGTTGCTGACGATAGGACAAGCAGCACAGGGTAGAACATTCTAAGACTCACTCACAAATTTTAACTTTGGAATGTTTTCATTATTGTAAGCTCAAAAATTTATTAAAATTCATTTTTACTGTAGAGTTTACAAACAGACTACTTATTACTTTTATTTATTAGTGCATTATAGTTGCAAAAATTAGTGGGTTTCATTTTGAATTATTCTTAAATGCATATAACATATTTTTCTCCTTTTCCTGATTCTTTTATTTCTGTGGTCCTATAGTATAATTAGAGGACTACTCTAAAAAGAGCATTTGTAAAGGGGAGGAAGGAAACCTGGTCAGTTGCATACTAACATCTTGTTGGTCTTCTGAAATCACCACTTCCATTTTTTCCTTTGTTGGAAAATAATCAAGTGCCTCTACTATTTATCTGACTGAACACAAAACTGCACACTTCAGTTGAAAGAATGTGTAAAACATTGGCGCAAAGCACTTAAGGTACTATACTGGCCAGGCTTGTCCCACATAAAACCTTCCCACCAGTTTTCAGACTAACTCTGGATGGGCAAATTCCTACCCTGGCATCCCTCATGGCATTTTCCCCTCCTTGAAATGCCCTCCTCTTCTCCGTGTACAAATCCTATCTAAGCTCAAGCTTTAAGATCCAGTTGAAAGGCCACCTGTTCCTCTTCACTCTACTACTCAAAAAGACAGGAAGGAGAAGGGGAAGGAGAATAGTGGGAAGGGGAGAAGGAAAAGAAGAAAATGGAAATCCCTACTTAACTAGGAGGACATTTTCTCTGCAGTCTGATGGCTAAAAAAAAAAAGCCAATAGACACTTAAGGACTTAAGGATATGAACATTTACAGTTTACTCTTTTAAGAGAAGTAGTACACAAAGCAATAGTAATATGTGATCTCAATTTCACATAGATAAATATCTGTGTGTATCATATATTGATACAAAAACATTTGGATGAATAAACTGTTTTCTCAAGGGAAATTTCTTTTTATTGAATGTTATCATTATGTGATATTATTACATTTACAAAAGAAAGAAAAAATTTCTTTTTTTTTTCAGTGCTGGGAATTGAACCCAGGGCCTGGTGCATAGTAGGCAAGTATACTACAACTGGGCTATGTCTCCAGCCCTGAAAAATGCATTTTTATATGAGAGAGCAAAAACAAGAAAATTGCATATGAAGAATTAACTTTGCATCTCACTTTAAAAACCTGCACAGTGCCTAAGGGTAAAAATAACAGTCTACTTCTGTTCTGAATCAAAACAAAATGGCTGCATTTCCATCGACCATCAACATGCATTTATAAATTCAGAGCCTGTTCATAAAGGACAGTCCTGTGTACCACAAAATAAACTGCAAACTGAGCTGATTATCACTGACAAGAATATGTTCCCTGCATAAGCCAATTAAGGACATAAAGACACCAGCTCTAAGGTGTTAATTGCTAAAATTAGAAGCTCTATATTTTGTTTCAAATACAAGCTTAAATAGTGTGGTTTGCTTTGTTCAGTTATTCTTAAAAGTATGAGCAGAAAAGAAATATGATAGAAACTATCAAGAAGAGGGTCCATGCCCTGGTTGTTGAAGGGTGGACCTTCACTGCCTTGTGGAGAGTTTGATGTGTAAGAGATATGCTACAGAATTTCAATAAGCAAATTTTTTGCTTAGAGAATAACTATGATCTGCAGATATATAGGGTAAAATTTGATATGCAGTACACAGCAATATAAAAATGGAGTTTAAAAAAACCTAGCATGCCAAAGATTTTATACATATATGAGATATGAATTGTATAGCACACTTACTGAAAAAAATGTTTAAAGAAATTTGGCAGATATCTTTCAGTAAATTAAAAATCCTATTAAAAACTTCCTATTTAAAGGATCCCTTAATTGCCCCTGATTGTTCTGTAAATACAGACTTCTGTATAAATGTCACCAATTTGATGGCTAATAAAAAAGCCATACTATAGTTAGAATATCATATCAATCATATGAATAAAAGGTTTCATTTCTTATTGCTATTTTTATTTTCTATGCCAATAATCCACAACAAGAGAAAAAATTCAGTAGATTGAACATCTGCAGGGAACCAGATGTTCTCTTTGTAGAGATGTAACAGAGCTCTCAAGAAAATAGAGATTTTACTTGTATTTACAGAGAACATTTATTTATTTCTCATCATAAAACTAAGAAATAATAACATTAAAGTACTGAAAAAGAATACAAACTTTAAAAAATATATGCATCTTTTGCCAAAGACTGAATCTATTATTTCAGGATCTATTTTAGGACCTTTTTTAAAGTTACTTGTGGTTTTGTACTTCTTGGATCTTAAAAACTTAAAATATAGGGCAACTTAGCAATTAACTTAAAAGCTAATGCAAATCTATTCACAGTAAGTTGCTTCTAAAGAAGAGCTACTGAAAAGAGAAAAAAAAATAGAAAACACAAAGAAAAATACCTAATCTCTAATGTGTAGCAGTTACATATTTATCAAATAATAGACTCAAAAGAAACAGATGTTTAAAGGGTGCTATATATATTAAAAATTGCTTTATATCCAAGTTTTGATTGCTTTTCAAAGAAGACAGACAATGGAATAGCATACTCTCAAATATGTTTAAAAAAATATGAACATTGTACTCCCTGCCTTCTCAATCAGGAACTTGCACATTATATTGTATCAGCTTTTTAATGATTTTATCAAAGCAAAAACCAAAAATTTTAAAAAGTTGAAAAAACAGTTCTGCAAGATAGCAGATCAACAAAAGTGTTTTTTTTAATAAGATCATGAACTATGCACAAAATGGATTTTCAAAACTTTTCTCAAGTTGGGTGCAGTGGTGCATGCCTATAATCTGAGCAACTCAGGAGGTTGAGGCAAGAGGATTGAAAGTTGAAGATCAGTCTCAGAAACTTAGTGAGGCCCTATGCAACTCGTCAAAATAAAAAACATAAAAAGTGCTAGAAGTGTGGGTCAGTGGTAATGTGCTCCTGAGTTAAATAATCCCCAGTACAGAAAAACACAAAAACACAAAAAAACAAACCTTTTTTCAAGTTTAGTAGTGAATTTAGGTAAATAAATCTTACAGCCAGGCACGGTGGTGCATGCGTGTAATACCCCAGAGTCTCAGAAGGCTGAGGCAGGAGGATTGCCAGTTCAAAGCCAGTCTCAGCAACTTAGCCAGGTATTAAGCAAATCAATGAAACTCTGTCTCTAAATAAAATGAGTTGTAGGCAAAATGTTCCATATGCTTTTAAGTATGGGGATGGAAGTAAAGAATCTGTTTATTTTGGGAGACTTGTTGGTTCCCCCCTACCCTGACTTTTGACCTTTTCTTTGAATTTAAGATGTCTAACTCTGAAATTAAATAACAAGTTTGTGGTTTCTAATGTTTTTTCTCATAAAATGTGATTGTTGAAGAACATGAACCCAAAGTTGCTTTCAACAGCACAACACTTTGTTGAATCTTAATCATTCGCAATTTTTTCCTTGGCTGTTCAAAAATACAAAGCAAGAAAGAAGAGCTACTTAGCTATATGAACTTGATGTTGGAAAATACTACCCAACAACCACAAGAGCACTGTGCAATCACTTTCATTAGGACATTTATATTATTTGGTATCTCCATTCAAAAATAGAAATCAATTTGTCTTAACCAACAATGCATGCCTTGCCCTCATTCTTCCTGCATGGACCTGTGCATCCTACCTGAGGTACTGTGCTCAGAACAGCTACTCTTGAGGGTAAACAGAGGCCCTGCTCTGTGCCTAGCAAATATTCTATTTATTTATTTTTAACTGATACATAAAAATTGCATATATTTACGGGGTACCATGTAATATTTCAATATAGGGATGTGTTGTACAATTGTTCAAATCGAAGTAAAGATATCTCCTCAAATATTGATCGTTTCTTTATAGTAAAAACATTCCAAGTCCTTTCTTCTCTTTGGAAATAGATATTTTCATTGTCTCTGGTCAGCCTACTATGCAATACAGCTCCTAGCAAATGTTTGTTCTTTTGATACCAGCCAGTGTTATTTCTCAAGTAGTTTTATGAATATTATCGTAAAAATAATAAAGTCTCATAATATAATTCTCCAGCAGTATTGAAGGGTATAAAGTGAGATGACTCCCTCCTAATTCTTACAGCAAACTACTAATGGCAAAATACTGCAGATACTTTCTTATGTTAGTAGATAGAGTCTTGTCTCATTTTTAACAAGCGAAATAGCATTTTATTGTATACCGACATTTATTAAACAGGATCCCCACTTGTTCATGTTTAGGTTCTTTTTAGTTTTTTTTAAAATTATTATTACAAATTAATGTTAATGAACATTCTTATATAGTATTATTTTTGCATTCTAATATATCTGTAATATAAATTCTTAGTATGGAGCTGCTAAGTGAAAAGGTATGTAAATATTAATTTTTGATAGTTACTACAAAAGTTTTGTAACCATTATCAATTCAGCAATATTATAGGAAAATTCTGATTTCCTTTCTCAACCTATTTTATTGTTTAATGGTCAAATGATTGGATCTCTGTCTTTAGACAGATTAATGAGTTCATATTTCTTTGACTATGAATGAGGGTGAGAGTACTTTCATGTATTCACAATTTCTTTATTCATCTAGTGATTTCCCCAGGAAGTATTTATTTCAAAAAGTAAATGAGATTATGTGTGATTCCTCTGTTGCTATTTTTCTTGTGCTTCAGGAAATATACTGCATGTAAGTAAGAGAAATGGGATTATGGTAAAATAATCCTGCATCTGTTAGAATTCACTGCTTTATTAGAAATAGAAAATACTCAGGGGTTGGTCCTTTATTATTAGCAACAGATTTCTAGCAACTCAAAAAAACAAACTACATTACCCAAGACAGCATCAATGACTTAACTTTTGATTTTTAAGTACTTCTTCTATTTAAGACTATAGAGCTTTTCCTTAAATACACTTTGATACTTTAAAATACATAGTAGTTTTATTGAGAAGTATGAATTAAATCTAATTAGGTAACTTCAGGAATATGCAAATCCAATCATAATTAGACTAACTCGAATCTGGAAAAAAACGGATTTAAAACTGATATTTAATAAAAATATTTCAGAACAATGGGTGCATTTGAGGTAATATCATTAAGAGACAGAAAAGTGTTCTCTAGACTATATATTTAACAGTAAAATAAAGGTTCAAGTTTAGGGTACAATCAGGCACGTAGAGCAGATAGGGTATCTATGCAATGGAAGATTTTTAAAGATTAAAAAATATTCTCCAACATATTTTATAAAAACGCATGGACCCACGTGTTAATATACAGCTGTATTTTAAATCCTAGCAGGGCAAATTCTCAACTCCAGATTTACAGAATATCTGGTAAATGTGAACTTAACCATAGAAGCTGAAGTGTCTTACCTCTGTGGCTAGGCTTTGGCTGGCACCATTGTCAAGAAGAAACTTGACGACTTCCAGGTGGTTTTCCTGGGCTGCCATATACAATGGCGTGAAACCATTCTGCAAAATGAGAAATGAATGTTTATCTCATTTCTAGAACCAGTCTGTTTTTCATGGTACTGAGTATACATGCTCTGAGAAGTGCTCCCATGTAATTTCTATAATTCTTTAATGTAGATATTCACATTTATCAGAAAACCTAAGTACCATAATTTTTGCAAAATTCATAATGTAAGTATAATTCATAATTATACTTTGCAATTCATAATTGGAATGCAGATCATAGCTAATAGTCTATAGCTAAGTCTAATTCATAGTAATTTACACACTTCTGAGAAATAAGTATATTCATTCAGTCATCAACCACTTATTCATCACTTACCATGATTTAAAGTATTTTACTACATGCTATGAGGATATGAAGAAAAATACATCTGGTTGTTAAAGCTACCATTCATTAATTATCTTTTAAAAATAAAGATGTAATATACTCAGGCAAAAGTAAGCATCTGAAACAGTTTCAACTTTTTTGGCTTCAAACTTAGCACATGCATACATCCACACACACACATTCAGTTTGTATGTGTATGATTGTCTGAAATGTGCTTATGCATTTGGATCTAAGCAAATGAATGTGCATATGACATCTTAAGTTTCTTATTAAAAACATGTTTCCTGTGTTTGTTCTCTAGAATGATGTTTTACACCTAATAAATTGATATTTTACAATAAAATTTTAAAATATTAAAAGATTTCTCAAACCACAAATTCTCTGAATACATTTTTTAATCCATGCTAAAGTATGTTATTTTATTAAGACTGTATCCAAGATATTTATTTAATTCAGAATACAGTTCTATTTAAATGACTGTTCATGAAATTATTATATAGATAATACTATTTCAAAACTTAAAAGTAAATATATTTTAAACTAAAATATTACCAAATAGGATTCAAGCTTTTGTGATTCAAAAGTTTGAGTTTCTTCATTATAAATGTCAATTATTATATGATCATCTTACTAATCCATAATCAGCCTCTGGTGACCTCACATTTTTGGCTTACAGCTGGGAATTAGTAAATTAAGAAGATCCTTCAGGATGGCATGGCAGCACACGCCTGTAATCTCAGCTACTCGGGAGGCTGAGCAGGTGGATCCCAAGTAGAGGCTAGTCTAGGCAAGATAGCAAGACCCTGTCTCAAAATAAAATAAAAACACCTGGGACTTTAGCTTAATGGTAGTACGCTTGCCTAGTAAGTGTGAAGCTCTGGGCTCAATGTCCTGTGCCCTAACCATATCCTTGAACAGATAAAAGTGGTAGTGACCAAACAACTCCACCATGGCCTGTGTATTCATCAGAGAGCACCTCTCTTCATTTTAGTCCAGTTTGCTCATAGTTGCAACAAGTTATCTGGTTATCAAGCTCAACAGTAAAAAATTAGAGGAATATAACAGCAGCCAGCTAGCTCCTTCCTGGGGAATGGTCTGCCTGGTAGTATCTCTGGAGCCTATTGTTTCTGTCATGAAGGCTACATCAGCCTTTAAACATGAAACATGGACTAACTGCAACATTCTATGGGGGTTGTGGGTGAGTTTTGTCACTTTTCCCAGAGCTATGGGGGAAACTGAAAGAGTTAGGACTACCTTCATCATACTTATCTTTCTCATTTTCTTACTTCACCAAAATGAAAGATCATTCAATTCTTGACTAAATATCCTTTTAGCAATAAAACTAAAGCAACAATATGAAGAAAGGGAGGGAGGGAGGAAGGAATAAAGGAGATGGGAATGGAAGGATGGAAAAGAAAAACAAAGGTGAAAACCAGTGTGGATTTTTCTTACAGCTAAATGAATAACTGAGCATTTGTCTTCTTACATCAAGTTCTCTGAAAGTCAAAATTTCCAGAGGGCAGTTTCAAATTTTAGGAGTAAAGTTCTTAAAAACTTCCACAAGTTCACACCTAAGTATCAACAAGTCATGTCATGTCAGTTGGTTCTAGGCAGCAGCGGGGAGGTCTGCTGTGATGGTGTGGTACAGGGCTGCCTAAGAGACACTGGTTTACCCATGCACATCCAGCCCAGTGCACATCCCCTGGTCCAGAGATCATCATCCAGAACCAAGCATTTCCTGATCCAGGAGGAAAGTCCTAAGTCAGGAAGCAAGATTGAAGGGGATGCTATTCGTACAGACCTGGGTCTTCTAGAGAGCCATTCTTCAGAAACACAACTTTAATTTTATTTATTTATTTATTTATTTATTTTTAAAGAGAGAGAATTTTTTAGTTCTCGGCAGACACAACGTCTTTGTATGTGGTGCTGAGGATCGAACCCGGGCCGCATGCATGCCAGGCGAGCGTGCTACCGCTTGAGCCACATCCCCAGCCCGAAACACAACTTTTAAATCATTCCACATGAGAGTGGATGTGTAACCGATGTGAATCTGCATTATGTATATAGAGTAAAAATGGGAGTTCATAATCCGCTTGAATCAAATGTATGAAATATGATATGTCAAGAACTTTGTAATGTTTTGAACAACTAATAAAAAAAATCATTCCACATGCCCTTTTTCATAATAGCAGAAGAGATGAGTAGAGTTAGGATTTAGATCTAGCACAAAGGCAAGAGCCCCGGCAAGATACAGCCCAGTAATGAACGGTTTCCCATGGTGGCTTTCCCCATTTTTCATGAAGGCTTGCCATCCAAAGGTTATTTAATGAAGGTCAGTCATTTTCTGAAAGTTCACATTCTTGTTCATTTTTTGATTTTTAAAAATATTTGTTTGATAGTCACAATCTATAAGATTCACCCTTATAGAGTATACAATTCAGTGGGTTTTAGTATATTCACAACACTGGGCAACTGGCCTCGACAGACAGGAGCCTTGTCAAGACACAGCCCCTTGCTCCTGGACTCATCTTCAGCACTTACCTGCTAGTACTAGCCCCCTACACACCCCCTGGCAGCCACTAATCTACTTCATCTCTGTGGCTTTGTCTATTTTGTACATTTCATATAAATGAATCATACAATATGTAACCATGAATGGTCTTGGGCTATTTCTGCTGTCTACGGTGATTAAAAAAAAAAATGGGGAGAGACTTCATGACTGAAATTTTAATTTTATAGTAGGCGTTTGTGGGGTATGTGTGTGTGTGTGTGTGTGTGTGTGTGTGTGTGTGTGTGTTTATTTGACTTTGCTATGGTTTTGGTTAACCATACCCACATCGATTTCCTCTTCATTTGACAATGTTACCCTTATTTTCTTTTGGAAAAATCACTCTTCCCTGCCATGTAAGTGTGGCTTGACTTGGTTGAACTTGGCGACAGATAGGCTTGCCCTTCTGTAACTATGTGGGAGACATGTACTGGATACCTTTGTTTTGCTCTTTAGAATCTACTCTCCCCAGCTGTTCTTCACTCACTGACTTACAGGAACCAGATTAATGGGAAAATCTGACTCTGGTTTTGGTCAGGCTCTACCGCCCTCCACCCCAAGTATCAGGTCCCCTAAACTTTCTAAAAGTTTATTTAGTCTTTTATTCTCGGTGTTCTCAATCTAATTCTAATAAGTTCATCCTTACATTTGCTTAAGTTAATTTCTGTTCCATGAATCTAAATACAAATTAACACAAATTTCATCTATCAAGAAAGGATCAACAAAGTACGAAAATACATATATCACTCTGTTATGATTCTAGGAAGAAAATTGTAAGCATCCTTTGGGAAGATTGAATAAAAACATTATCATCACTCTTTAGCTCAACAAGGCTTAAGGCATCTACAGTAATTCAGTGTGTTGTCATTGGATGGCTTATAGCTGTAATGATTTTTAGTGAAGTGGACCTGGATTGGGAGAATGGTCATATTTCAGAAAGATTCTTCCCTTCTTAAGAGAAAAAGTACACCATTATTTTCATATTAATTTCCTAAGTTAGGAAATTTCCAAAAAAAAAAAAAACTGGTATAAAAGGAACATAAGGTGCCTGATTTACATTTTCTTTTCTGGAGCAACAATAGATTTAATTCTCAAAAGGCAGAGCAGCTTCAGATCCAATGAGTATGCTATTTGAAGTCTGATTTTATCTAATACCTTCAATACCTTCTGCTCTGAATGTTTACAGTGGTGCTATAATAAGCATGTAAATCAGCAGACTTATAATTTGGTAGACAGCACGGAGGCATCCAGCACAATACCCACCAAAATAAATAAATAAAGAGCCCTCCTGTGGTTTCATTTAAGGGCTTAAATTTTATCTGTGAAAATTTCCCAGCCATTCTAATTCTCTATGGCCTCTGTGCATCATAAAGTGCTGTTTTTAATTAAGATATAAGGGCATTGTGAAGATTTCGCTGATTCATATATGGCTGTAATTTTTGTGAAAGTCAAATTAGAGGTTTAATACAAGGTCATAAGTCAGGGAGCCTCATCTGGATCATATTCATTTGTCTGACTTTGTTAGGATCTAACTTTCTTAGCATAGGAATACCGCCATACAGGCAAAGACCAAAAAGGCACATAAGGAGCTCTGGGTGACTTAGTGGGTCTTGCCATTATTGATGCCATCGTGAAAAATTGTTCATTTAGAATATTTTTATAGCTGAAATGCTATCTGAAAAGGTGTTGCCTCTTTATAAACACAATTTTATATTACAGAATAAAGACAAAAGGGAGAAGAGTGATGGATGTCATTTGACTTAGTTTGAGATTTTTCAATAACACTGTTCACTGTTATGTTTAGTGCAAAATATTAAGGACTTAACAATAGAAAAATTCTTCATAATTACAATGTAAGTAACCAACCCAACCTCTTTCTTAAGGTATGGTTAAGTGATCTCTGGGATGTTAATTAATATTAAGTAAAAGTTAATGATCTTGCTGGGTGTGGTGGTGCATGCCTGTAATCCCAATAGCTTGGGAGGCTGAGGCATGAGGATCTCCAGTACAAAGCCAGCCTCAGCAAAAGTAAGGAACTAAGCAACTTAGTGAGATCCTGTCTCTGAATAAAATATAAAATAGGGCTAGGAATGTGACTCAGTGGTTGAGTACCCCTGAGTTCAACCCCAAGTATCACCCCAACACCCCAAAAAGAGTTAATGGTCTTTTTAAGATCTAAGATCAAGGCAACAGCAAAAATTGGTTTAAAATAAAATCTGAATTCCTATGTTGCCCAATGTCATTTTTATTTTAAAGGAGAATTTTTATACTCAGGGAACCAAGAGGCTCTCTCAACTGTTTCTTATTGGCCATTACACATTGCTAATAGGTTAAAATTTCACTTAGAGAAAGATACTATCTTTTGTGAATATTAATATCCCCATGACATTTTATGTGCTGCCACCTCAATGGAATTTAATCTTCTTTCATGGCACCATTCCTTGCTATTCTTTATAAAAGTTCCTACTGAAGAGTTGCTACCAGAAATTATCAGGGAAAATCCACTTTGCTGCATGGTCACCTCGTTATCTGAATTACCCACAGAGCAAGGCTATGCAGAAGCTGCACTAGGGCAGGACCCCAGAGGAAGGGGAAACCCTTTGCTATGCACTGTGTATCAGGGAATCCCATAGGCTACATCCTTCTCCCTCACTGTCTCAGCAGTGTGGAATGTGTATAAATTGAAATCAAAACTGGCTAGGATTTTATTTCGACTGCAGTTTTCCCAGACACTGCAGAGCAGGTTTGAAACTATAGCTGCTCTAAAAAATCAGTAAAGAATGCATGTAATGTTTAAAAGGAAGTTGTTTATTTTCCCTCTTCTGGGAATACAAGAAATAAAAAATAAATGGAATAAAGAGTTTCCCACTATCTTGGGGCCTAAAACTAGCAATTTTTTAGTGAAAATGTGTGGCAATATTTTGGAAAAAAAATTGGCTTAAAAGCATATGCTTCTATTACAGTCAACTGGTTTTTATCTCTCAAAACACTTGCCAATGTTCAAATTTCTGTCACCCCTTTCTAGAAAATTATTAATAGTTGATGTAAATTCTTACAGAAGATCAGAACACCTGGCACAGACCATGTGACAAAGGTCCAACCACAGGTAACTGGAAAGAAATTAGAGCAAATATAGATGCAAGCACTTCCTTTTCCATGGCTCTAAAGTTGAATGGTGACAGAGCTATTGCTGCTCTGGGTGAAGTAAATGGGAGAGGAAGTCACTGCAGTGTTGCAGACCCAGACAGCAGAAGAGATTCCTGTTATGTGAAGATCATCAGTACTAGAAAAGGTGATGAAACCATGTGCACTTAAACTGAAGATCCAAAGTGCATTGTAAATGATATAAAAAGTTTTCTTGAGTCTTAATCTTGAAAGATAAAAGTAGACATTGTAAATCTAAGTTTATGTGATTTAACAAAACACAGATTATAACTGCAGTCATGTATGAGGTTCTTGGAATAAACAGACTAAATGAGGTGTGATTTTTTGGGGTGGGGTGGGGCGGGGGGGGGGGCGGCAGGAGAAGCCTAACTTTTCCAACAAAATTACATGATGTTATCACATTATTCATTTGCTTTTTATTTCCTCAGCATAATTAGCAAATCGTCTTTTTCCAGAAGTACATGAGAACCAAAGATCTCACTTATTATTTTTCTTCATTTAATCTTTTGATGTTCAAATTATTCTCATATCAAACATCTAACAGGAAATAAACCTAATTCTTCATATGTTGCCTGGCCAAATATTGACAAAGAATCATGTACCTGTCCACAGCTTTACTGTCTTTCTCTAGGACCTCAAAAAACCCTGTATCTTTGACAAAACTTGCAATTTTGTTCTGTAATAAATTTCTTCAAGACCCAACACCCCGGTGGAGACCTTGACAAATAAGGAGAGACATTGGCATTCAAATGGAAAAAATGTTTGCATGAAGACCAGTTTTAAAAGTGGCCAAGTCCTCAGTGGATATTCTTGGGTCATGATGTTTGCTTTACAACCTCTAAGGGACTGTGTAGGAGGTAAATTATGAATACTTGAATAATGAAGCATATATTTTTAAACCAATAAAGTGAAGTTAATTCCTTTAGACCCAGTTTAAAATGATAACCTATTAGTTTTCATTTTAAAACCTCATTATAAGACTCTTGAGAGTTATAGGACGACCTCTATTCAGTACAAATATTTTGAACACTTTAAAGTTTGAAGACTTTTTAAAGTTTTTTCTGCCCATTTTTTATTTTTAATCTGTTTCAGAGAACAGCAATGATGCCTTAGTGAAGAAGAATTAAGCAATTTCTTCTCTTTCTCAACTAGGAGAAGCACTGATGTATTCTGAAATTCCAAGTTCAGAAAAAAAAAACAATTTTTCATACGTTTCATTATTTATTATTTTCATAATAAATAATGTGACTGGACCAACCTGGGCCAGCATCATAGAGTATAAGATTCTGCATTTCAGAAATCCCCTAAGCATTTGTGTATGACTACTAGTCATAGAATTCCATCAATAGATCACTGTTAAAAATTTCTACCTCTCAGCACACACGTATTACAAATGAGGATAAATATGAACTTAAGTATCTTAGAGGATATGTGAACCAAGCAAGCACTTCATCCAATGAGCATTATTTGTAAATTATAGCACAGTTCCTCTGCAATAGAGTCGTAGGTTTACCTGAGATTGTGCATTGACATTGGCTCCATTTGTGACCAAGACCTTGACCACCTCCGCTTGCCCAGCCAAAGATGCGATATGTAACGCTGTGTTTCCTTTCTGGAAAGTGAAAAGCATGACAATGTGAACTCTGTCATCTTTCTAATTTCCCTATGTTTAAAGCTCTCCAAGGGAATACAGTTGACAAGTATTTCACAAGAAATGTACCCTAATTCTTACTGAGGACAGAATCCTCACTGAAATTGGCAAATGACATAAAAAGCATCACTGATACTGACCTTTGTGGCTGCATCCACATTGGCTTCTCTCTGTAGCAGTTCAGAAACAACTTCCACATGGCCTTCTTTGGAAGCAAGATGGAGTGCATTCAACCCATTCTGATAAAAAGCAAAAGGAAAGCTTCACTGGGCAGGTTGAAAATAGAGCACTCAATGATCAATACTAGAAAAGGGGATGAAATCATGTGCAGGTAAAATGGAGAATCAAAATCTAGCAAGATAATCTCAGTGATATTTGCTTGCATATGTGCAGTGAGCAACCTAAATTAGGAGCAGGAGTACTTGAAAACTAGGTGGGTTGCTTCATTATTATTACTAAAATTACAGGAATTATTAAAGAATGTATGCTACCATTTCTGAACTTCTGACAAGCAGAGACTATTTTGATAATATCAAGCCGGTAAAATTTAACAGAAAAAAAACCAAAAAGAGGAGAAAATCTTCCTAATATTTAATGGAAGCTTTAATGAGTTTAAAGTCTAAATACTTAGAATTTGAATAAAACAAATAAACAACAATGACCAAAACTGACCTGATTGCAAATGTTGATGTCAACACCATTTTTTATGTAGTCAAGGGCCTTTTCTAGGTGTCCAGCTCGAGCTGCTCTTAAGTAACTTGCGTTGGCATCAGACTAAAATTAAAAACAAAATAAAAAAACATTTTGATGAAAAAATGAAACTAAAGTGCAGATTTATAACTACCGGGTTGGTAGTCTAAATTCAAATGAAAGCAACCTAACTGCTCTGTTTCTAACAAAAAAAGAGTAATTTTTTTCTGCAAAGTCACCAAGAAAATGGCAAGCTCTTTAAAAGTTAGTTTCAGAAGTGTACAAAATTACCACTTCTTTCATGTTATAAATCATTCCGAATTGAGAAAGAAAATTCAGGCAACTTCAATCATTGTGCAATTTACAGAGAGTGAAGAGGAAGCCTGAATCCTTAGCAATCATATTAGAAAGGCCTTGCTAATTCTCCTGTATCTGAAATTTAACATCAATTTCAGTTTTCTAAATCTACCACAGCCAAATATTCAACTGGTCACTTCACAAAGATATTAACACCTTTTCTGTTGTTATAGTATTTAACAAGCATTTGAAGTTGGGTGTTGTGGTACACAACTATAATCCCAGCAGCTTGGGAGGCTGAGGCAGGAGGATCATGAGTTCAAAGCCAGCCTCAGCAAAGTCCAGGTGCTTAGCAATTCAGTGACACCTTGTGTCTAAATAAATTATAAAAAAGGGCTGGGGATGTGGCTCGGTGGTTAAGTGCCCCTGGGTTTAATCCCTGGTACCAAAATAAATAAATAAATAATAAAGAATTTGTAGATGATGATCATCAGGTGTATATTCATACAGGATTCAGCCTTGTTTTAGAATGCAAATTGAATTTCAAAAGCATGTAGAACAGCCTACTTGGAGTGTGAAGTGTCCTTTTGTACTGATTTTCAAGCTAGCTAAGACCACAGCCTGGAGAAAACCCCATTTGGGACAGCAAACAAAATGTAAAGACAGTAAAACAAGACAGGTAATTCATTCACTGACAGCTTGCAACTCTGAATTACTGCTAATCTCTAACACTTAGACTGCATAGTTGAACATAACTACTATTAAAATCTTTAATAGAAAAAAGATAGTGAGAGAAAAAACTACAAAGTTGGTCCTGCAAAGTTTGTAAAGGAGTCTTGCTCAATGTAGAACAGTACAAAAGTAGTTTGGCTCCTGAAAGAGCAGACAAAATAATTTGTCACTGGTTATAAATGCAATCACATAGGGCATGGCTTCAAAGAGGAAAGTTTCCTCCTGCAGCCATATAGTGAATGCCCCTTCAAAACCCCTGCTCAAATGCCACCTCATCTGTGAGGTCTACCAGACCCCCAAGGGCAGGGCTTAATGGCTCGGTGCTCTCAACACCTTAATTGTACTGAGCTCTCCTGGTTTTATCACAGAAGCATAGTTTTGGTATACCCATCCTCCCACCCTAAATTGTAAACCCCTTTAGAACAAGCAGAGGCAGATTAAGAAGCAGGCAACTGGAAAGACATCAAGATGCCAATCTTTGAAGAACACCAACACATCCCTGAAAATGTAATTGACACGAAGGAAATTCTGTCTCTTGGAGAAGTCTTTCATTCTGGTGTAAATCAATCAGTAAGAATTGACCTGCTCAGCACCTCAGAGGAGAAGCCACTGCCTCCAGGGTCTCCTCTACCCCTCCCCTTTATGGCAGTAAACTCTGAACGAATGCACATTTCCTCTTCCAAATCAAGGCTTCTCAATCTCAGCACTACTGGCATTTTGATCTGAATAATTCTTTTGCTGGGGTGGGGGGGCAGTTCTGTTCATCATCCAGTGCTTGGTCTTGACCAGCTAGGTATAGTCATATCCCCTATTTGTGACAACTAAAAATGTCTTTAGAATTGCCAAATGTCTCATGAAGGGCAAGGTTTCTCCAATTGTGAACTACTTTAAGTAAATGAAGCTACTTATTTTAAGATTGCTAGTTTAAAAAGGCTAAAATCTCTAGGTTGTCACATGCCTTCATGTAGCACAATGCAGTGACCCTACCTACGTATGATATCCATCTTTTTGTTTTTCTTGTAACTAGAAGATGTAGGTGTCTATACATGTTTTGTGAATGGCTGAATCAACAAACAAGCACACCGGAAATAACTGGTAATCAAATTATTTGCAGCAGGTATTTAAGTTGAGAATCTGCTATGATGCAAAGATGGACATCATATATCATAGATGAAGTCACTGAGCCATGAGGCTATGAGCACACATAGATATTACTCAAAATAAAATTGGAGTTTGAGTTAAGCATGTAAATAATCAGAGCAGAAAGTTAAGAAAAAGGAAGACAATAAGAGAAAGTTTCAAATCAGACAAAGAAAGAATCATATAAAGTTTCCAGGAATTTAAAGAAAAAGTGCAGTCTTAGAAGAGGTTTACAATAAAGGTATTGTGTCCAACTACAACTAAAAATAAGTAAATATTTTTTTTAAAAGAGGTTTACTACTTCAAGGAGGTCAGTTTTTTGTCTATAAGTTCAGTTAGAATTAAATTATCTATGCAAGGATGGCTCATTGTACCATAAAACATCACCATCTTTGTGCCTGCTCAATGACTTATCAGTAAATTTGCCCAGAAGGGCTCAGATGCTGTTCTGGGAACAAATGACATCAGCCTGGGTATTCAACTGCCAGAGATAACAACTGTGAGTTAAGCATCCCAAACTCTGACTTGAGGCACATAACAACAACTAAGGAAGCTGCTATTGAAAAAAAAAGTGAGATAATTCAAGGAAAAAAGTCTTTGACTTGATTCCAGATTTAGAAAGGTTTGGTATTTCCATGCACTGTCCATTTTCCTCAGAATTTTTCTACCCAAATCTGTAAAGCAAAACAAATAGATTCAGATGAGATAAACTTCTAATTCAGTGGTTCTCTACCTGAGATCTGAATTCTCTGGAGACTAAAAGAGTTAGGATTGAATTTTCTTTTATATACATGATCCTCCACATCCCAGTTGTGTATTTGTGGATTCAATCAACAGGGTATTTAAAAAATATTTCTAAAAAATTGTGTATATTAAATATCGACACACTTAAAAAAACTTGTCTTTATAACTATTTATGTAGCATTTATATTGTTTTAGGTACATGTAATCTAGGAATTTAAAGTATAAGGAGAATATGCATAGGTCATATGCAAATATTATAGCATTTTATATAAGAGACTTGAGTTTCCACCGATTTGTCTGTGGAGATTGGGGACAGTGCTGGTGTCCAATGGAAGACAATTTATGCCTATATTCACCAAATCTACATATGCACATATAACTTGCACCCATTTCATATAGCTCAGGAGTACTAAGCTATTCATGGATCTGTATTTAAGAAATCCTGCTCTTGTGATAGATCCTCTGGTAGATAAGTTCATTATTTCTATTTTACCAAAAGCTTTGATATTAAAACAATTCTCTGTGTTAGTTTATTGCCTTAGAACATTAAGAAGTATAAGAAAGGACAAAAATTGTCATCACTTTTCTCGGCTCTCTGTTATATACTAACATACTCGCCGTCTCCAAACAGTAACTTTATACTTAAAAGGACAAAAAGAGGAAGAAAAAGAGTCAAAAGGTGGTTGAAGGGATATGAAGACTGCCCTGAAGAAAACTTAACAATTTAGAAAGTGAAATTATTAAAGCCTACAGGAAAAGAACCAAGAAGTTCCTTCTTTTACTCAACCACCTGCAAGCAAGGTAGCTATCTTCCTTGCTTTTGAGTTCAAGGCCAGCCTCAGCAACTTAATGAGACTGCCTCAAAATAAAGCATAAAAAAGGACTGGGATAAAGATTAATGGTAGAATGTCCCTGGGTTCCATCACCAGAACTGTAAAAATACACACATACATACATAAATATGACTGTTAATAAATTACTGTGGAAGGAAATCAGTTTCAAAGAGAAATTAGGCTTTCCCATGTGAAACATCAGATGGAGGAGGACAGTGCCTACGGTGTTAGTCCTTGCAAAGGTGAATATAAAGAGGTTAGTCAACACTGTTTTTCCCTTAAAGACCAAAATCTGATGTGAGAATTCAGAAAACAAAAAGCTGAGGGATAGTGCAGTACTTGCTTAGCATGGGTTCAAGCCCCACTACCATCAAAAGATGGAAAGAAAATTTTATGTTTTATTTACTTAGCCATTTTACTACACAGAAAAGAAATATAAATCTCATGGTTTTTCAAGAAATAGTTTCAGGGACAAAATCAAGCATTATTATGAATTAATTTAATAACTTAGCATCTTCACCTAATCTGGAATATTGATATTATTCCGTAAAATACAGTGGTTAGAAAGGAAACACATTCCCTAAATGCCAATAAATAGTAACTTAATACTTCACACACCTCTTGCTATATGTTAGACACTATTGCAAGAACTTATGTTAGTTTATGTTATTATCATTTAATATACTATGTACTAATTGCATAAGTCCTTATGCTACTTCACTTGGTCCTTATAATAGTTCTATGAAGTAGAACTACAGTGGGTTGAATGGTATCCCCTAAAATTTATGTCCATTGGGATCTCAGAATAAGACCTTATTTGAAAATAGGATCTTTGCAGATGGATTTAGTTATGAGGCCATAGTGAGTTAGAATGGGGCATAAGTCCATTTACCGGTGTCCTTATAAGAAGAGAAGAAAGACATGTGGATATAACAGAGAGAAGGTTACATTAGGAAGAGGACAGAGATTAAGAGTTTGCTGCCATCAACAGAGACCATCTGGAGTCACCAGAAACTGGAATAGGCACAGAGAAAAAAAAAAAAAAAAACCTCCCTTAACAGCCTTTGGGAGAAGGTGATTCTCCTGACACTCTGATTTTCAACTCAAGCCCTCCGAGTTGTAAAAGAATAAATTTCTGTTGCCTTAAGCCACTCAGTTTGTGGTGGTTTATTATGGCAGACCTAGTAAACTATACAAGTAGGTAACTGTTAGTAGCTCCATTTTCTAAGTGAGGAAATGAACTGTAGAGAGGATGAGTGACTTTCCTGGAACATGTAGCTTGTGAATGGCAGAGATGGAACTCAACAGTGTGACTCTGGAGTCTGGGTTGTTAACCAT